AGCACCCACGTACGGACTTTGAGCTCACATTGTCTAGGCTGAAGCTCCAGTGATAGGCTGGGGGAGCGTTCCAATGTCCTTTAGATAAGACGTTAATAATAATCCTTGCATTTGATATGGCGCCTTATCACGCCTTCGAAACATCTCAAAGCGCTTCACAGAATATACTGTAAAGTGAATTGATTGTATATTTTGTGGACGAAATGCGGCAGCCAACTTACAACAACAACAACAAGATTCCATTTATAAAGCGCCTTTCACGTCAGGAGGACGTCCCAAGGCGCACAGCACAGCAGTAACTTAGCATGCTTCTCCACAGAAGCGTATGGAGTAAGGAAACTTGCCCAACGTTTCGCTCTGCCAGGAATCGAACCCAGGTCTTTCGCTTGTGAAGCGAGTGCTCCAACCACTGAGCTACAGGACTTAAAATAACCAGTCTGTAACAACTTAAATTACATTTGTATTGGGAATTATTTCACCACCTTCGATTTCAATCTGTTCATGCAACCTCTTGCGGTCACAATGACATTCAATTCCACATTTCTGAGAAGCGCAGCGAGGGCGTGGGTAGAAGCAGTCTAAGCCAGGCAATCACACGTTAAACTGAATAGAGGTCTCGTCTGCCTGTTCAGGTGGATGTTAAAGATCCTGTGGCACTATTCGAAAGGAAGAGAGAGTTTCTCTCTCCCTGTGTCTGGGTCAACAATCCCCCAGATTATAAAAATTGGTCATTCACTTCATGGCTGTTCATGTGACTTTGCTGTGTGCAAACTGACTGCCACGTTTGCCTACAAAAATATACAATCACTACACTTTACGGAAAACCCTGTGAAGCATTTTGAGACAATATGATGTGATGAGGCGTATCAAATGCTGCGAGTGCTGTCCTTCAGATAAGATCCCTCGGCACAATTCAAAAAGAAGAGGAGAAATGTTCCTGGTGTCCTGGCCAACAATTCCCTAGATAAATCACTTATTCATTTTATGACCTAGCCCTGCATAAAATGCTGGCTCCGTTTCTCCTCCTTAAACAATTATTGGGCTGCGATTATTCCAAAGCAGTAACTAATTTGTGCTCAGCAATGTCACAAAACAGCCAGGAAGTGAATGTCCAATTTTATCTGGTGGATTGTTGGCCAAGACACCAGGAAAGAGAAACTCTCTTTTCTAATAGCTTCGCAGGATCAACTTCCTGATCTCATGGTCTCATGACCTGTTTACTCCCCAATCCACTACCCATTGCCTCCCCTTGACTGGCTCTGGGCTCCCTCTTGGCCCCCGTGCCTCCATTTCATCATCGCCCCAAAACTCTGGAAATGTCTCCCTCAACCTTTCCACCTTGCCCTCTCCTTCCCATCTTTAGATCGACCCTGAGGACCTTCTTCTTAGTCCGAGCTTACGGTCACCCCCACCTCCCACGGCTCGGTGTCGTGCTCCGCCACTGTCAAGCGCTCTGGGGCGCTACTCTGTGTGAGGGGCGCTACGGAAATGCAAGCTGTTGTTGTTGGTTGGAGTGTGCGCTTGAAAGTTCTGATGTGGGGGCTTGAATCCACAACCTTCTGACTCACAGGCGAGAGCGCTAAAAACTGAGCTACAGTGGAGGTCTGACAACTTGTCACTGGTACCTGGAGGGTTTAAGCTGTAAATTTACCCGTTGCTGACTGGTGAGACAGCAACATACTATATTCCGCTGGGCGTTTGTCCTTCCGCAAAGGTGTAACTAGTTTAAGCTGTGGTAGGGATATTTGTCTGACTTGCAAACAATGTAAGCTGCAGGACAAAGATTGGCACAGTGTCCCGAAATCCTGTTAAATAGGTTATTAAAAATAAATTTTTAATGAAGTTCTCACAGGTTACATATTTGTTCAGCCAGTTTTCTCTCTGAATTTCTGCCAGTTTGTCGCTCTATATCTTGTTTCTTTTGGCATTGGAGCTGTATAAGTCTCTACTAAACCAATGGTGGCACAGACGGCAGTAATCATTATCTTTATTATTTAAATTTTTAAAAAATATTGTCCTGACTACTATCATTTTATTATTATTAATGCCTGTCCTTAATAATCCTTCATAGTAGCAAATAATAATTCTTACTAATAATAATCAATAATAACAAATAACATTCCTTTCATTTCATAGAGCACCTTATCACAGTTACAAGGTGTCTCAAAGCGCTTCCTGGCATTCTACTATTAAGTGTAGTGACTGGGTGTCTTGTATGTGAATGTGGCAACCAATTTGTGCATCGCAATGTCCTGCAAACAGTCACCAAGTGAATGACTGGTTTCATCTGGGGGGTTGTTGGCCAGGACACCGAGACAATTGTGGCTGTGGGATCTTTAAAGTCAACCTGAACATGGAGATGAGACCTCAGTTTAACGTCTCATCCGAAGGTCGACATCTCCGACAATGCAGAGCATCCTCAGCACTGCATTGGGATGTCCTCCCATCGTGAAAGGTGCGACACAAATGGAAGTTTGTATTGGATTGCATTGCCTGCCTAAACTTGCATTTGATTTAGCGCCTTTCACGTTGGAAGGATGTCTCAAACTACGGATTCCAACAGTGCAGGAGCACTTTGAGATGTCCTCCCAATGGGAGTGTCAGCAAAGACTGTGAGCTCAAGTTCCAACCCATGGACTTGAACACACAAGCTCCTGACGCAGAGTGCTACCGACTGAGCCAGGCTAACACCCTCATCACAGAGTCTGTTTCAACTCGCAAATGCCAGGCTCTTTGTTAAGTATTACAAGAATATAAATCTAAATTCACGCTCCGGGCACAGACAGACTGCGCACAGCGTGTTAGTGACGGGAAGTAACCTTTCAGAGGTGCCTAATTTAATATATGTTTATGCCTAACGGGTCAATGGATCACAAGTTTTAGAGACATAGACTGACCTTGTGACAAATTAATAATAGATATTATTTTTGGAGCTTTAACGGAGGTGGTTTGAAATAGAACATAAAAGCTTTCCAGGGCCTAAACCCTGCATCAATGACGCAGGTGGCTCACCATTAAATTCTGGTGAATGTGTAGGACAGTCAGTGCTACCTGCGTGTCTGTTGTTCATATTTTATAGCGGATTTCAATCTAACCCATAAAAATGGCCAAAGCAGGAAGTGATGCCAGCGCTTCCTGTTCGCCGGGTTGCCACTGACATCACTTCCCGCGCTGACTGACTGGCTTCCTGTGCATGCTGCAGCGCAAAGGAAGTCGGCCGGTCAGGGCGGGGCCAAAACGATGAGGCGCTCAACCGAGTGTTTTGTCTTTCTCTGCGAGTGAAGGTTGCTTTGGGTTTTTAGAAGTTCCTCATTATTTCCTTTGGCCGTTAAAAAAACACACACATCACTCACCTTTTCCAAAGGCTTGTGTGCGCGCGCGCGCGCGCGTGTGTGCGTGTGTGTGTGCACGCACATCAGACTCTGCGTCTCCGCTCACTGAGCCTCTCGTCCCACATGCTTTGCTCCTGATTCATGAGCGACCGATTGAGACCGCTCGTGGCGAGGCTGATTCATCCTCCAATCCTCACCTGGTATCAGCTGCAGAACATCGGTGATGAGAAGCTTAGCCAACAGTGCCGTGACGTCACGCTCCGCACAAGGCTTACTGGAAGATACAGGGAAAGACACCGGGGGGAACGACAGCACAATCCACACTTAACTCCCTCCCTCTTGACATCGGGAATGTTATCTGCTGTGAAACTTCAGGGCAATGTGAATTAACGTTTAATTCACTGATGGCGGCTTCGACCAACAACACGCCGCCACCCCCCCCCCCCCCACCCCCACATAAAATTGGTCGTTCGGCTTCAAGGCTGTTTGCGGGATGTTGCTGTGCGCAAATGGGCCGTTGGCCTGCAAATACACAGTCCTTGCATTTCACAGTAAATTCCGTGCAGTGCTTTGAGACATCCTCCCAACATGAAAGGATTATTATTAACTGTAGTGGGAGGGAATCCAGCTCGCAAATTAGGGCTGAATTTAGGAATTTTCCTGGGATTCCTGGATTATATTGTGGGACACTGCTGTGCACAATTAGCTGCTGAGTTTTGCCCACAAAACACACAGTCAATCAATCCACTTTACAGTATATCCTGTATCAACAATGTGATAAGGCGCTATATCAAATGCAAAAATTATTATTATTATTATTTTTCAAGCCTGGTGTTGAGGTAGTGAAGAGCAGAGCTAATGGGGAGTGTTGGCGAGAGTGTCGCAGGGACGATTTGGCTCATTGAGTCAAGCCTTCCGCAGCCTTGATAGTGGGTTTTCAATGGGCGTTTTCACTGAATCCCACTTAACAAGCTTCAGAACGCCTGATGCGACCAGTCACGGCGTCCTATGAATTTCTACACAACATTGAGCACCAGAACAAGGTGAAACCCAATCCGTCATGTTTAATCCAGGGTGCACTAACTAACGTTCCCTTTGATGATAAATATGATAAATAATGCCTCCAACATGTGTTCTCGGAGCTCTTCAATCTGGCTTTCAGTGCTCTTAAAAGCTGTGTTTTGTTTTCTATCTTGCTCTGCATGATCCTTTGGGAGAGACTGTGTAATGCGGTACTGGGCTGTACAGATCAAGAAAGTAATAATCCCTCCCCGCCCCAAAATGTAAATAATAATAATAATTTGGTCACTCAATCCATCACTGTTTGTGGGACGCTTCTGTGTGCAATTGGCTGCCGCGGTTCGCCCACAAAACAGACAATTCACTTTACAGTATATTCTGTGAAGCTCTTTGAGACGTCTCAACCGTGTGTTATGTCACTATTATTATAACACAGGCAGCAATGATGAGTTGGACACAGCTTCGAAAGCCGTAGAAGGGTGCATGGTGATAAAAGAGTACAAGCTGCTGAACTTGATGGAAATTCTACAGCCTTCTATCGAACTCGGTGTCCGTTTCTCTTTTGCTGTTGCTTATTTCGTAGTCGCTGGCCGGCCTCGTGGTTTTGAAGTCTAACCCTCTCCTTCCCCCCCTTCTCGTCTCTCGCAGGTGATCCTGATTCTCACCAAGCTGTACGACTACAACCTCGGGAGCGTGACGGAGAGCTCACTGTGGAGGTGAGTGGCCTGGATAAGGGGCAGGCGAGAGGCAAAGCCGGTCGAGCCCGAGAGGGAGCAGATGTTCATTACTCAATCTAGTGTGAAGTATTAAGGAGACAGGGATAGCTTGTGGTTATCCGAAAGCATTAAGGAGAGCAGCAACGTAAGCCTTGTGAGGGCAACTGGGGTCTTGCAGCTGAAGCAATGCCAATCTCTCCGTAAGATTCCCTTTGACGTTAATTGTGCCGAAATGGACATTGAGAAATCACTTGTTTTATGGATATGAATGACTCTGAAAGCCAAACAAAAACCACAGCCACTTACAATAATTATTGCTTGTAAAAAAACACACACACACAAATGCCATTGAAATGATGGATCCTCGTCGGAGAATATTTTGTCAAATGTTGTTCTCATTGGTGTTTTTATGCCACGTCATTTGTGGTAAATGGTAAATCCTGATTGGTAATAAGTATCTGTCAGATTGAGTTATCTGGACGAGTTAGTGGGGAAGTTAAGATTTTTAATATTCAGAGAGTTAGTTATTAGAGATTATTCTGTCCTTTGGTTGTTACTGGTGTTTTAGCAAAGGTACCTGAGTTCCAGCACACTTACTGGAGCTTTCTACTCTTATCCCCATTATGTCTGTGCTGGTGCTCGCTCCCCCACTGGAGCTCTCTACTCTAATCCCATTCCCATGCTCTACTCCAAGCATTCAGGGACACTACCCCGTTTGAAGGTTGTTGTATAAATGCAATTTGTTGTTGATGTAGTTGGGGTAACTGCTGGCGTCTAGCCAGCTAAAACCGCATAGCGTGCTATTGAGAGCACTGTCTGGCAAGCTTTCCCGCTGCTTGTCCGGCTAGATCCACCCTCCCTGCCAATTAGGGTTAGGATCCGATGGAGTCAAGCTGTCACCCATGAGTCTAATGGATTTATTCAAGGGATTGAATATTTTTTGTGCACGTATCAAGCTGTAACTCTAGACTCCTATTTCAGCCACAGATATAGCAGCAGATGAGCTGCCACTTGCTATGGAAAGTGAAGCATGTGAGGTAAGTGATAGTCTCAAGGAGAAGCAACGTCCTGGGCTCCTTCGATAAATCTAGTGGTGTATGATGCAAAATGGGCACAGGACACTGGCTATACTGGGAAAGGCAGCAAATATTCAGTAAATTTACCAGCATAACGTCAGGATTAATATTGGTTAATTAGAATGATGGCTCCTACTCAATGTTCTTTACGCAGTCTCATTGCTCTCCTTTGCACTGCTTTGTTGCTTTCTCCTCCACACTGCCGTACAAAATAATAATAATAATAATATTTGCACTTGAGATAACATCTTATCACAATGTTGAGACGCTTCAAAGTGCTTCACAAGAAAAACTGTAAAGTGGAGTGACTGTGTTTTGTGGACAAAACACGCAGCCAGTTTCTACATAGCAGTGTCCCACAAACAGCCATTGAATGATTCACAAATTTTATTTGGGGGATTGTTGGCCAGGACAGTTGAGAGAGTAACTCCCTTCTCTTTTCGAATAGTGCCATGGGATTTTTAACATTCACCTGAACAGGCAGGTGGGACTACGGTTTAATGACTCATCCGAACAACAGCACCTCTGACAGTGCAACACACCTCCCCTGCCACCAGCGCCAGCGTAGACTATGTGAGCTCAAGTCCAGACATGGGATTTGAGTCCACAACCTTCTGTCTCAGAGGCTAGAGTGCTATCGCTGCGCCAGGCTGACACATACTGAATCCCAAATGACTCGGACTCTAGAAGTAGAGCTAGGAGTGAGCGGTGTTATAGTTAGTTGCCTACCATGTTGTTTTGCCTTTAATTGTTCAATGAAGCCACAAGCCAGACTAATAAATAACGCACTCCATTAAACTGTCCGCTTCAATGATCCCAAGGAGACTAAATGTGACCAGAAATGTTCACGGTTGGAATGTGCTCTGAATCATATTATACATGTGTGTACTGTTTAAGCAGGATCCTGTTCGACATTTACTGTAACCTTTAGATGGTAATACACTGACAATAAACATATAACTCAAAGCGAATATAAATCATTGCTCCCTTCCCAATGGTTCAGTTAGTGAATTCAAGTTCAGTGTGAGTTTGTACATGATTTCACTAAGGATTATCTTAGGTATCAGGTAACATGCATATGAAGAGAGATTCTGAGCTAAACTGGCACTTTCTCCACCGAAGTAGATGTGATTGAGAAAGGATATGATTGAGATCTTTAAGATAATGGTACAACCTCATCTCAAAGGTACAGCGCTCTGAGATGCTATCCTGCGTGAAGGGCGAGTTATTGTACTGATGGGACAAGATAGGGTCGATAATAATAGAAATAATCCTTGCTTTTAATATAGCGCCTTATCACGTCGTCAAGACATCTCAAAGTGCATCACAGTGCATACTGTAAACTGCATACTGTAAAGTGGAGTGACTGTAGTTTGTGGACGGTTTGCATACAGTAGTGTCCCACAAACAGCCATGGAGTGGGTGACCGATTTTTATTTCGCTGGATTGTTGGCCAGGACACTGGGAGAAAGAAACTCGCTTCTCTTTTCGAATAGTCCCGCAGGATCTTCAACGTCCACTGGAACAGGCAGGTGGGACCTCGGCTTAACGTCTCATCCAAAGAACGGCACCTCCAACAATAGAACTCATCCCCAGCTCTGTATTAGTGTCATCTTCGACCGTGTGTGTGTGTGTGTGTGCGTGTGGTGGGAGTGGGGAACAGTTTCCTTTAATTGGGAAATTGATGACAGGTGGAGTGGGGAGCAAAGTCTGAGGACTGTTAGGATGAACAATCAGGGAACGTTTTGGGACAGTGTAGGGGAAAACTCCCTTCTCTCTTCCCAAACGGGTGAGGAGGAAACTGGGGAAGAGTCTGGGTGGTACATTTCTCACCTCTCACCCAGGGCAGAGCACCTAAAGCCCTCCAGCTCTGGCCTTAACAGGGTGCGGATAGAAGCGAAACTTAACTCCCGATCAGAGGAAACCCGTTTAAGAATCTCCCGTCGCCATGGCAAAGTTAAATGGTTAGTTGATGTTGTTAACCTTATTTATAGCTTAGCCGTGTACAACCGCTCTAACACTTTGCATCGCTTCTGTATGACATATTTATTCTGTAGTCTAATTGTGCTGCCTCTGACCTTTCGATAGCTCCTAACCTAATCAACGGTAGTGGTTTGATTAATTAATATTCCATCTGAAGCGTGGCTGATGCTGCAGCTCGATGCACGGCAAATTGTTAGTTTAAGGATTTTAATGGTGGTGATGATTTATTAATGTGCCTGTGCGTGAGTGTCTGCGAGTGCGTGTCTGTGTCTGCGAGTGCGTGTCTGTGTCTGCGAGTGCGTGCCTGTGTCTGCGAGTGCGTGTCTGTGTCTGCGAGTGCGTGTCTGCGAGTGCGTGTCTGTGAGTGAGTGTCTGTGACTGTGCGTCTGTCTGTGTGAGCGCGTGTCTGTTCCTATCCAGTGCGCGTGCAGGTATGAAAAGGTGCTGAAACTCCCGATCCTCTGGAACTCTCTGCCTCAGCCCCTCCACCTCGTCCCCTCTTTGCCAGTCTTCAGATCGCAATTGATGACTTTTCTCTTTGGCCGTGCCTACGGTCACCTCCCCTCTCTCCCCTGGCTCAGCATCAAACTGCGTTACTGTTAAGTGCCTCGTGACAGCAACCCATGTGAAAGGCGCTGTGTAAATGCAAGTTGTTGTTCTATTTATTCAGAGGAAGGTTTGTTCAGATGGAGCGAAATTCCTGATGTGTGTACACTGCGCTTGTAGCTTTGCATCTATTTAACCTTTTGATAATAAAGCCATACACTTGCTGAGAGAAGGGACTTTCTCCTGGTAGTTCCCCCATGGATAAGATCCCTCATTGACTTTGTGGCTGTTGCAGGGTACAAACTGGCTGCTGTGGAGCCATTTGTGGCAATGCAGGGCTCTCTGCTCTCACACATCTGTCCCTCCCCAGTGCTGCACTGGAGGGTGAGACGAGACTCAAATGCAACGATTATTATTATTATTGAGCGCATTAAATACCAAATATACCGCTATCCTGATCCCTCCTCCCAACCCAGGCATGCAACAACAACAACAACTTGCTTTTATACACGCCCTTCCCACAGGATAGTGTCTCGAAGCGCTGCTCCAGGGCGGGGTTGGACGCTGAGCCAGGGAGAACGGGGGAGGAGAGAGAGATGACCCTAGGTGTGGTCAAAGAAAGTGGGATTTGAAGATAGATAAAGGGGCAGGCGGGGTGGGGGAGAGTGGGGTGGTGGGTGGGGGTTGCAAGGTGGAGGGATTGAGACGGGGCGTTCCAAAGGTTAGGTGCATTAGGAGGGGTTCTACAAGACCACAGAATTGGTTTGGATAAAGAAGGCCTTTTGGCTCATCCGATCTCAATCTCAACGCTGCAGAACTCCCCTGCCTTTCCTTCTCTCTCTCCCCCCCCCACCCCCCAACCCCACCCCCACACAAACAGCCTGATAAAATAAATCACAGTAAGGCTTAACCTGATGGTTCCCATTCCCCTGGGTCGTGCTTTGCTGTGATGATTGACGGCCTCCGCAACACAAACAGCAGAGGTAATCCCAAAAAACACTCTAGCAAAAAGCAAATCGTTCAGAATTAAATTCCGCCAGATTTCCATTTTACAATCCCGGGAAGTTAAACGGATTTAAGGCCTGGATTTTCTTTAGACTCAGCTGCTTGCCGGAGGGCAAGACAAATTCACTACAAAGGCAGCTTTTGTGCCACTTGAACACAGAGACCTGACTGTGCGTTCTTGTAGGCGAACGATTTGTACAGAGCAGCACCCCGCAAACAGCCGTGAAGTGAGTGACCAGTATTATTTGTTAGCCACGACACTGGGAGACATTCTTTTTGAATAGCGCCGTGGGATCTTTAACGTCATCTGGACAGGGATGTCAGTTTAATGTCTCAATTGGCACCTCAGACAATGCAGTGATGTCTCCCCCCCCAACATAGCACAGGGGT